GACACTGGCCTAGGTCACAGAGGGCCCTCCTGGGAAAGACTCGGGTTTGACGACAGGCAGGAGACTCCCAGGAGAGCCTGGACAATCCCCAGACGGACGGGTGCGGCTCGGGAACCAGGTCTGATGTCCGCCACAGCCTCATTCCCCACACCTCAGCCTCCTCCTGTGTGACACAAGAATGATGGAATGAATGCCATGCGTCTCCCTCCCCAGGCTCGGGACACTACGGGAAACACCCACAGCAGACCTGGCACACAACAACCGTCTCTAGTGCAGCCCAAGGTGTGTGAGCACAACTGCAGGATCTAGGTGCTGCCCCAGGGCTGCAGGCCGCCCTCCTCACGCTGTGACTGGGTGAGATAAGGTACCTATCCCAGGCTGAGGCAAAACCACTATGCCCCTGCTGGAACCCTGACCGACCAGGACTTGTGGGCACTGCCAGCAGCACACTGCACACCTCCAAAGAGTCAGCACCTGACTAGATGCAGAGGGAAGGGAGGGGAGGGGAGGGGAGAGAAGGGCACTGGCAGGAGCAGGCCCTCGTGAGGTCAATGGTGGGGGTGGGGGTGGAAGACACAGCCCCCAGACTCGACCAGTGCAGTCAACCTTCTCATAGCTCTGGTTCTGAGGACAGAAGGGCGCGCGGGGGGGTGTCTTTGGGGTTATGATGGAAACAATGGAGATGTGGCTTGGGTCTGACTGGATGTGGAGGTGAGGGGGGGGTTTCCAGAGTTCCCAGGCAGTGGCTCAGGGGAACTGAATATCTCAGGTGGTGGCTCTGCTCACCGCAATAGGGGATGAAGATTGAAGGCCTCCATTTTCTCTGTGATGTAAAAGGCAAGGCCACTTGCTTGGCGAACGGCAGGACAAGGTGAGGGGTCTGATGAGAATGGCAGAGGTCTAAGGGAACTGCCAGGGGCAATGGGAGAGGCAGCTGCTGAGGGACAGGGAAGGATTGCCAGGCAGCACTGCACATCCGCTGCAACTGGAGCCCATAAATTAATTTCCAATGGCACCAATCAATGCATGACAGGACAGCCTCCCGCAGGCAGAGCCCAGCAGCCAAGAGTGGAAGAACCCTACCACAGGCAGGGACACGGACACGGATCTGAGGGGGGGGAGAGAGCACCGCTGCAGAGCAGAGGTCTATGCCGTCAGACGCGATGGGGCTGTGCGTTCAAAGGCTGGGAACAGAGGTCGGGGAAAAGTCAAACCCCTGGACAGTCTCTCATTTTCAAGAATTCATCAAAAGAGAAAGAAGAGTCAGCAGAAGAACAAAAGGGATGATGCTCACACCGTGGGTGCTCACACCGTGGATGCTCACACCGTGGGTGCTCACACCGTGGATGCTCACACCGTGGATGCTCACACCGTGGGTGCTCACACCGTGGGTGCTCACACCGTGGATGCTCACACCGTGGGTGCTCACACCGTGGATGCTCACACCGTGGTGCTCACACCGTGGATGCTCACACCGTGGTGCTCACACCGTGGATGCTCACACCGTGGTGCTCACACCGTGGTGCTCACACTGTGGGTGCTTGCACAGCTCACAGTGCACTCAGACACATGCCGTGCTGAAGATGGGACCCATGACAAAATTAAAATGAGTGGGGGATGATGAAGAAACAGGAGACTGTCTACGGCCCTCAGACGAGCTTGCTGAGGGCAGAAATCTGTCCTGTTCATCTCTTCATCCCCAGGCACAACACACCAGGCTCGGCTCATAATGGGCACTCAGAAACTGTCAGAACAAATGAACGAATGGAGGAAGCCTCCCCGCGTTATGATCAGACTCGTGTGGGAGAAAATGCAAAGATAATCAAAATACCCACGGCAGGAAAGTGGAAATAGGACGGCTTTTTCCTTATCTGAAGACTCCGTTGTGTCCTGTCACACTGTGTAACAGTTAAGAATGGTTGTCTGTCTCTTTTAGAAACATCAGACCAAGAAAAAACACAAACTAAATGTTTAGCATTTCTTGAAAATAGTGGTAATCTAAACATGGTATGTCATTAAAAATTAAAACACTTTCACCCTTTACAGAAAGTCATCTCTGAAATACACAGATACAAATACAAGGGGCAGAGGCTTCCTTCACTCTGTGTATGTATGTGTGTGTGTGTGTGTGTGTGTGTGTGTGTGTATACACATGGGTGCATGCATTCCATGGCATGTGTGTCAAAGAACTTTCAGGAGTTGGTTCTTTCTTCCAACCCTGTTTTAGAGGCAACCCCTCCTGCTTCTGCCACTGGGCTGCACACCCCAGGCCAGCTAGCTCTTGAGCTTCTGGGTAACTCTTGTGTCTCTCTCCTGCGATGCTGGAATTAAAGATGTGCTCCACTGCACCAACCTCTTTACATGGGTTCCAGAGACTGAACTTGGGTCATCGGGTTTGCGTGATAAGCACATTGCATGACAGCCCCCGAACAGTCTCCCTGACCCCTTCGACAATGTCATAGGCTCAAAAGACCAGAAGTCTCCCCAGTGCCTAGCAATGTATGTGCAGTCCCTAATCTCAGAGGCTGACACTAGGAAATTGGAGAAAGACTCACACTGAGTAACTTTCCCAAGCACAGGGCACATGACATGAGGGAAACAGAAGGAGGCACAGCCACCTGAGAAAGGCCAGGGCGCAGGACACAGGGCGCTCACTGTCTGGAGAGTGGTTAAGACGGATGCCGCTGGAGGAAGCAGCCCCAGAAGAGAGGGGGCCGGAAGGAAGGAAGGAAGGAAGGAAGGAAGGAAGGAAGGAAGGAAGAAAACAAGCAAGCAAGCAAGCAAGCAAAATCAGACCTCTCTAAACACAAGACACTGTAGTTTGGGAACTGGGTGGACACTTTCATTGTATCTGAGTCAAACTGTAGAAGTTTCTGCTACTAGTGAGGATAAAGATGTGTTCAGCCACAGGACAGCAGCTGCTCAGAAGATAGAGGCAGAAGGATCTTTGGAGCTCAGGAGTTCAAGCCTGAGCAACATGGTGAGACCTTGTCGCAAAAAAGCACAAGTATATGGACTCAACAGATTGTATCTGGGAATATATGCATGTATCTACAAAGAACACGGGCATAAATAACAACTGAAAAAAGTAAAACAAGGGTGAAGATGCAGCTCATTCATTGATGAGTGCACGCCAAGCAAGAACACGCGTGCACACACACGCACACAGACACACGCTCGCACACAGACACATGCTCGCACACACACACACGCTCGTGCACACACACACACACAACGCTGTGATGTGGGTGAAACACAAACACTCATGTCAACTACCACATGAGACTTACACTGTGCAACGTAAAAAAGAAGCTAAAATAGGAAAATAAAGAGAAAGCCTCGCCACCCTTGATATGAATTGGGTACACTAATAAACCAGGGAGGTATTTTATTTTTAAAAACTGTTATCACTAGAAGCAGTGACTGAGCTCACAGTCAGGAGCACCCTGGCACCCATGTTCTGGTTTCTCAACATCTCCCCAGTAAAGACGGGCCCTGTGAAGAAGCAGTCAGTTCCAACTAAACTGTCAAAGCCCACTAGACCTGTCAGGAAGATTCTAGAATAATAGCTCCCACAAGCCAGAACGGAAAACAACTCAATTATCGAAAAAAAAAAAAAGCAATTACCACGATGACTGGGACACAGGCATCACATTAAAGCCTAGCTGGTCTCAGTAACTCTGACAGCCAACCCATGACAGAGCCAACTAATTCTCCTGGAAACCAGTAAATAAAGGAAGAAAATAAAGAACTAATGTTGCATTCCTATGTAGTAAGCATTCTCAAACAGCTAGTAGGAAGGCTCTTCACTAGAGACTTCTAAGCATTAATGAAAGACAGAATTCAAGTGTCAAGCCACGCAGACTCCAAGGAGAGTGTTCTCCATGAGGACTGCCCTTGGCTGCTCCAAGTGGATGGGCACCTTCGCATACAGTTCAGATGGTACCCACTCAGGAGTCAGGTTCAGCATCAGACAGATGCGCCCAGAGCTCCTCCCTTCCTGACTTGACACAGAAGGGAGCTCTCCCAGCTCGGAAGCGCCCTTGTGGAAACAGAAAACCAACCTCTAGACTCAGTGCCCAGTTTCTAGAAAAGGAGAGAATCTTAATACTAGAGATGCAACTGTCCACCCAGCACAGGAGCCAACAGGGCAGACATCCTGGATTCTTTAGTTAACACACAGAGAGGAGAGAAGGGAGAGAGACACAGCTCTCTCTCTCATAGCTCTCTCTCACAAGCTTCTGAGACTGAAGCAAATCCATGTGCCGACCTTGTTTGTGTTCATACCCAAATGGGTCATCTGGAAAAGTCACATCTCTTGCTAGGTATGACAGTGCTGGTCCATAACTCAGCATCCAAGATGCTGAGGCAGGAGGACCCAGAGCTCAAAGTCAGTATCGACTACATAGCAAGTGGAAGGCCAGTTTGCCTCAAAAACAGAGATCCAGCCAGAGCACACCCTGATGGAAAGGGGGACAGTCTAAGTGGCAGAGCAGACGGGGTCCAATAAGTAGTGATAAGTTTTCAAATGTTGGCACGTCTTTCTTTCTCTCTATGTATTTTTGCCACACTGAGGACTAAATGCAGGACACTGTGTACCCTAGGCAAGCGTCTACCACTGAGCTATGCCCTCAGCTCTTTATCTCTTAGAGCGCCATGCTAGAGTGTGGACGGGGGAAGAATGTGCTGTTGGGAACCACTTTCCTTTGTGTCACGGTCTGTGTGGGTAGGATAAACGGGAGACAACGGGTCAAGGGTTAATGATGGTTGGAGCAGTAGAGCCTCACGAACCCCACCTTCCCGTTCTGACCGTTGGCGTGTGGGAACACATCCACAATGAAAAGTTGGAGAGACCCTCTTCAGGAAGAAGGCCTGCAGCCTGTGTTCTCCCATGAGATGAGAGGGGTCTGTTTCATGCAGTAAGCTCTACCCAGGCTTTCCCTGAGCTGTGGGTGAATGGAGAGCCTGTGGATGAGACCTTGAGGTGGGCGTGTTCGCACCTGCTTGTCTGCATCCTCGAGGTACCGTGCTATCACAGGCACGAGGTCCTGGGAGACCACCAATGGGAAATCCAACCTGCTTTCTTGTAAGAAAGCGACGAGGGGAGGGATTTGCTCCATCAGCTCAGTCCGCACCGTGGGCTCTGCAGCAATGGGACAGGGAGTTACATAAGAAGCAGCCAAGCATCTGACATGGTGTATACTAATGGTTTCTAGCTTTTCTTACTAAAATACTTCATCAAGAAAATTAGACAAATGCAGTTTAAAAATCATTTCCCATTTAGAGTATTTATGCTACAGACAGGCTTAAAAAGCTAGTAAGCCACACAGCAATATAAAAACATAAAAGGAAGAGAGGATGACAACTCTATTATAACAAGCCATATACAAATGGAGAAAGGACCAAGAAGTCTGCACGCTGGGCCAGCGACCAAAAGCCATTACAGCTAATGGCTTCGCTCTTAGACCTATGGGTTGTGCTTATTTAAATTCCAGCCGGGATGTATACATTATAAATAATTCTTTCACAAATGCACTCCTCCACAATCCACGCATCCCAATTATTTCTAAGGCAAAGCATTAAACAAAAGAGCGCTGGAGCTCCAGTACACCACATTAAATTTAACACAAATATATAATTGCCGCAGCACTGCAAATGGTGATTCATTTACAGAGAGATTCCAGTCAAAGCCTCAAAACATCCACTTGGGCCTTTTTAAAAGCGCCATGTCACATCCATATGAATATTTTAAACTAACATGAGAGCTATATGGAAGGCTTCTTTTTCTATCTTCGGCTGAAATGATCAAATTCTAAGGCCTCAGATTTCTGGAACTTTCTGAAGCATCTCGCCATCCATTATGAGTGCAGGGAAGGGGGGCTGCAGGGCAGCTGTCAGGACCGACAAGCCCACCACTCATTCATCCTCCTCATCTTTCCTGTGTGGCGGGGGTGGGGAGACGGGAACGCCAGAGCATCTGCTGGGCTGCTGCGGAATAGCAATCACAGGGAGGCAGGGAGAACAGGGAAACATCAGTCCACAGAGATCACAGGTGAGAGAAACTAATGACTGGATTGTCCTAATCCAGAGGAGTGCTTCTGATTGGGCATTTCTTAGCAACCGGCACTCTGGTAAAACTCAAGGAATACAAAAGGCCTAACTGCCAGGGCAAATGGCCTTCGTCACATTAGTCACTCTGATGTTCCAAAAATAAGGACAATTTGAGTCATTCTCAAGTAAGACGTCTGTTCTTCATGACAAAAATCTATCCACGGTCAGACACTGTCCAAAGCTCACTGATTAATATGAAGGCCTTTAAATTGTAGCTAGTCCTTGCAGCGTATAATTTTAAAGACGTGTACAAGTAAAAAAAAGGTACAGAACTGAACAGACCTGCATCTTCTGATAGTCGGAATGCCACCTCCATCACCGCCAGGATGTCCTGGTCACTGCAGCCGACGTCCCGGAAGATATCCAGTAATCCTCTGGCAACAATCTGACTACAGAGACAGAAGGTCCACACAGGTATTACCTGGCAGGTGCTGACTAAAGGGGACCACACTGGAGGTGCTGAGCTCGGAGAAGGAGGGGGCCTCAGAGGTGCCAGTCAAAGCCCTCCGGGAACTGGGGCTTTCTCTCACACCCTGGCAGTGGGGATAAACTTGACATAGCGAGGCCCTTATCCTCCTTCATTTGCTGGTTCTTTAGGCCCAAACAGACTTGGAAGAAAACCCTTTGGTCAGTGGGGGAGGGGGAGAGAGGAGGGAGGAGCGAGTGAGCAATAAACACAAGGGAGAGACCCAGAGAGAACCCACTGGTCCTTCAGTCTGAGCACCAGGGCTCCACACAGACAGAAGTCGGGAGGAGTTGTTTCAACTAAGGCACTTCCCTGAGCCTGCCAGTCCCTACTCCCATCTTCCCACATGATTACTCTCCAACAGGGGGGACTCACAACACCTGTTTTGAGGGAGCACTGACTCTCTAAGATGGCTCGGTCACGACAACTACAGTTGAAGGGTCAGGGCCAGGAGGCGACCATGACCATGTAAGGAAAGGGAAGGTGTCACTGTACCCGGGGCAGCAGGACAGCAATGAGTCAGCCTGCAGCCCAGGGGCCACACAGGGACTGGGCAAGCCTGTCACAGGCAGCGGGTGGCACGCAGCCACGTACCAATCACAAGAAGCTCTCTCTCATCATGGGGTTGTAGAGATGGGAGACACAAATGACTGTTAGTTACGGCAGCCCAAAAGATACATCCTGTAGGCTCTCGGCCACCAGGGAGAAACAAGATGGCTTAAAGTTAACCCAAGAGCAGGACGAGGCCTTCCAACGAGCAGGCCTACAAACCCAGGAAGGCAAAATGAACTACTCAACACAAGCAGTCCTAAGTAAATGCTTTATTAAACCTTTAAAAAATCGAATTATAAGAAATGATCAAAGAACTCCTCCAGGCAGGAAGAAAATGACACTACATAGAAATCCAAACTACATAAATGAATGAAAAAACACCAGAAATGAAGACCACATATAAAGATTTATCTCATTGTTTAAATCTCTTTAAGAAACAATTGTTAGCTGGGCAGCGGTGATGCACGCCTTTAATCCCACCACTAGGAAGGCAGAGGCAGGTGGATCTCTGTTAACTTTGAGGCCAGCCTGGTCTACAGAGCTAGTGCCAGGACTACACAGCGAAACCCTGCCTGGGGGGGAAAAAGAAAGAAAAATAATTGTTAAGAAAACTGATAATGAATTTATGACTGGTAATGGAGTCATAGCGCATATATATACGTGTATGTATATGCATATATGTAAAACGGAATGCAAAATAGCACAAAGAAACAAAAGTGAGAGCATACTAGTGTAATTTTATTACACTGTGAAGTAGAAAAATATCACTAATAAGTTAAACCCTGAGATGGGCACTAAAATAACAAAACAAAAAATTATGACTAATAAACTAGTAAGACAAACTGAATTCATAAAAATTCCATTAAACCAAGAAAAGGCAGATAAAGACCCAAAGGAGAAAAGAGTTATAACAATTGAACTCAAGCAGGAAGATGTCAGCTTTAGCACCAGTGAGTACAAATAACATAAATGCTTCAAACATTACAGCTAGAACACCAAGACTTCTATAGTACACAAGGATCCAACTATATACTGCTGACAAGAAACACACTCTAATATACATATGCAAATACATTTAAAGTGAAAAACTAACAAGAGTTGAGGGCTAGGGTAGCCATCTCAATATCAGACAAAATATATTTTAGACAGAGAACAATACCAGGGATAAAGTCATTTCACAGTGATAAAGGGGTGAACTTACAAAGAAGATGTAATAATCCTAAATGTCTATGTACTAAATAACACAGCTGCAAGCCACAGAGTAAAAAAGATCAATAAAGCTACAAGGAGAAACAGATAAAAGTCACAGTAGGAGTCTAGAAATAGGACCACACATGCATCACCAATGAATTTTTACAAAGGTCAACGGGGGAAAAACAGCCTTTTCAAAAGGTGATGCTGGAATGAACAGACACTGGGAGAAAAATAAACCTAACTCTCACCTCATACCATGCACAGAGATTAATGCAAAACACATTAGAAGGCTAATGTTGAGCTCTTTGCCATAAAAAAAGTCCTGAAAAGAAAATGAATCTGGGAAAAAAAGCCTATGTGAGCTTTGGTTGGCAATATTTCTGAAGCCTCAAAATATACAAACTATAAAAGAAAATAAACAATTTTAAAATGTCATTGAAATGAAAAACTCTTTCCCAAAATCACACTATTAAGCAAGGTGGGAGAGCCAAACCACAGACTGAGGGAAATACCTGACAAAAGACACACAGACCTAGCTTTGAAACTGTGTTCGCAAACAAGTGCAGCAACGTTATTCAAACAGAAGAGAAAAAGCTGAGAGCAACCCCAATAATTATCAGTAGCCAAGGAGGTCAACAGAATAAGAGCTGCTGCGTTCTACAGCATGGATGAACCTTGGGAAGGAGCTGAGTGAAGAAGCCACAAGAGCCCACAACCACAGGGTGATAGCCGCTACGCACGGTGGAAAGAGAAAATAGGTTAATGGCTGCTTAGGGAAGCAGGCTGAGGTCACTTGAGCAGAAACTGCTCATGGCAACAGAGTTTCTCTTGGAGGTAGTAAGAAAACCTCAAAATTCTTTGCAGAATGCTACACAATTCTGCAAATACATTAAAATCTATCAACATGAAATTTGAAAGTTGTAAACTGTATGGTAAGTCTAATGACACTACACTGGTAAACTCTACTGTCTGGGCTATGATAATACAGTGGTGAACTGCATGGTATGTGTAGTGGACATCATACTAAATTGTATGGTATACTGTCTTAGTCACTGTTCTTGTTTCTTTTACAGTTTGTATATTTTGAGGCTTCTTCAAGAATCATCAAGGTCATGAAGACAAGGCTAGACCAGGACTGAAGAGACTAATGAGACACAACAACTAACGGATGGTGTGGGTAGCAGTGTGGCGCAGGAAGAGACTGCCGTGGAAAGCCATGGTGCCTGTCTGCGCTTAACGAGCCAGCCTGGAGCACGGCTGTGGCTGATGGCTAAGCGATCTCTCTTTGCTACGCACAAGCACACAGGTTCATGTTTGACAAAAACATCAGAGCAGGGTTTCTTGCCTTCAGCACAACTACATCTGGGAGCTGACAATTCTTTGTTGTGGGACAGTCCTGTGCATCACAGGGTACTTAGAAGCAGCCCTGATTATATCCACTAGGTGTCAGTAGCATTGCCTGACCCCCCACCCCAAGATGTGACAGCCAGAAATGTCTCTGAGATATCTTTGAAGGTCCCCTGGGGGGCAGACTCCCTCTGTCTGAGGGCCACTGCACCAGAAGGAGCTGGACAAACGTCATGACTCTTTATGTACACTAGTTACTTTTCCCATTGCTGTCATCAAACATATGACAGAAGCAAAAGAAGCAGGCAAAGCTTCTTTTGGCCCACAGTT